TTTTTTTTACATTTAATTATTGCAAAGATAACTAACTAATGTTCTTAATGTAATGTACATTTGAGTGAGGGTGGTTGTTGTCGTGGGTTGAGAATATTATTTGTGATTATTTATTTATTAATTGAATTTGTTTATTTACACGATAGATGATGAAGATGGGAATGGGGTCGAGGAGGCGGAGGAGGAGGAGTAAATAGAGGTGTAGACTGAACGTCGCTGTCCATATCAGAAGTGGTCGACTTTGACGGCGACGCTGTTGGCAGCATGATTCGATGGCAACAGAATGTTATCCCAGTCCGTGCAGATGTCAGACTCTGAATCGGTAGCCTTCAGGCTGATCCCGAGGCTTGGCAAAGTGTTGGCATAGTGGGGAATGTGCAGCACCACGGGCTTCAAGAACTCAGTACCTGCGACAAAGAGACTACAGTTTAACAAAAACAATAATATATATATATGTATAGAAGATTTATGGAGTTTTCATCACCCCATCTGTTTCCCTGAGTAAGTTCATTTTATCAATCCTTTCCTATCATACATCCATCCATACATCTATTACTATTAATTACTAATTAATATTAATCTACACTACGAAATCAATGTATGTATTTAAACTTAATTTTGTTCGGGCAATTAATATGTTTTAAATTACGATTGATGATGATTGAATTGCTTACCTTGAGGTCCGCACATAACTAGAGGCGAGAGCATTGTTTCACCTGAAATGGTTCAAAAGAGATATTCGAGATTAGTGAGATTCGGGCGTGTTTCCCTGTGTCGTATATATGATATATAAGGTATGTACACTGGTCGCTAATTAAATTTGAAATGATTTAATAACCCTCTAAAGCCTGTTCACAATCGTGGAATAATAGAAAAAGAAGTTAAGAGAAACCCAACACCGTTATTAATGAATTAGATTGTGATCATGCCTTGGAAAGGATGCTTCTCGCTTTTTATTTATTTATTTTTTGTTTTTGGTTTTTGGTAGTGTACCGTTCTCAAGGTCCAACGGCGGCGCGTTCTCGCACAGTCTGGGATCGGTGATCACGAAATAGACCTCCTGTCGCATTCCCTCGGGGATGGCGTTCGCGGGGATCTCCAGTGAGACGCCCCAGTATCGGTTGATGAGGGTGGCACCGCGAAAGTCGACGACCGCCGACGTCACATCGCGCTCGTTCGCCTGCACGTAGTCGCCGCAGTTCCTGTTGAAGTCACGCGCGACCTCGTTCTCCGGTATCGCCGCTACCTCCTGGTGCAGATGGTGGTGTTGATGGTGGTAGGCCCTCGGGTCCGTTTTGCTCGCCGCCGCTGCCGCTCTTCGCTGCTGCTTCGGCGAGGAACTGTTGCCGGATTCGCGATACTTGGCGAGCAGCTTCCTGAAGAACTTGGGCGTTCCGATGCCCTCGGTTTTCTGATGTTTGAACGATTGGGTTTTTGTGAGTTTGCGGGCGGTTTTAGTGTTAGTTGGTGGTGGGCTCGGTTCGTGGTGGTTATTTGCTAGATTAGGTTGCGATCCGTACAAAGCATTGCAATCCGCTCCCCTTTAACAGAATGGAATGAAAACACACAAAAAACGAAAACAGAGTCAATTCATTTGTTGTGTCATCAACAAATGAAGAGAGAGAGAATAAAATTCACATGTACACGCACTCAAAAATTGATATATAAATCTTTTGCATGCCCAGAAACGAAACAAAATTATATACAAATACATACACATATATATATATAAATAAATAACATCAATCAATCAATCAACATCATGTTAGCGCATGTTAGTATTAGTGTGAAACGAAACGAGACAAACAGGAAAACCAGTGTACATACTCGGCTCAATTATTTATTATTCTGATTATTATTAATTACTCTAAAGCGTTTGTTGTTTATACAAAATACATGAACGGTACATGAATATAGACGGTGCTTACCTCATGTTATGGTGGACTGGCTTTCTGTAGAGTTCGAACGCAGAACCCCTCTGCTCCCTGGAACCCTGCAGATCGACAATGTTGTGTCTGTCTGGGGGTCGGGAATCTAGCATCTCGCCGGCATCCATTCCGTACGGCACCTCCTGCGGTGCGATCGGCGCTATTTCGCTGCGAGACGCGTACGAGATGCTCGTGTGTCTTCGGCTCTCGTATGGCGGCGCCATATCGTAGTGACCGTGCATGTTCGCGTTATACCTGACCGC